TAAAGTAAATCAGCACTACAGAGCGGAAAGGAGATAATAAACTGCAAAATTGAAAAGATAATAGGAAAAATCAACAAAGTCAGAAGCTGGTTCTTTGAAAAGATCAACAAAACTGATTAATCAATAGGTAGATTGATTAAGAGACTATAATTCAAATGAGATGGGTTTTATTGGTCATCGCCAACTTCAGAGATGAAGTAAGTGGACAATGCATCATTTCAGAAACCGGAAATGGTTCTCAGCTTATAGTCAGCAAGTATTAGGAACTCTGCTCCCAAAACCAATAGGAACTGAATTGTGCCAATCACCCAAATTATTACAAAATGGATTCTAACAGCCTTAAGAAGGAACTCAGCATGCCAACATCTTCCTTTAAGTAGAAGACTTGTATCAGACTTATACCTATAGAACTATAAGGTAAAAGATGTGTGTTTATTTATTTATTTTTAAAGATTTATTCATGCATACAAGAACTGTGGTACAGGCTAGAGGTGCAGGGGGTGAGAGGATTCAGTAGAGACAGAGTGGAGGAGCAGAACAGGCAGATGTACTGAAATACACTGTTGAGGGAGCAGTGAGCAGGTCAGCAGAGGTCTGCTGTGCCATGAGGGTCACCTCCGTGGCCAGGGATGGAACTCATGCTGCAGGCTTCAGATAGCTTGATAGTGCCTCCAGGGAGGGTCCAATTTGTGTTGATTGGAACCATAATGTTTATAGTGTTTTACAGTAGCATAAAAAAGTATATTACAACACACAAAAGTTAACTACACATACATCACAGACCTAAAGTAGAGATGATAAATATAGAAGAAAATACAAAAGAATATCTTTGCAACTTGAATTCAAGAAAGATTTTTTTATGTGACAGTTGAAAAGCACAAATTCTAAAAGGAAAAGTTGATGAATTATATTTTATAGAAACGAAAAATTTTTGCTTTTTGAATAACATAAAGATAAATCAGAGGAATGTCACACAATAGGAAAAATTACTTGTGAAACATAAATCTGATAACTGTCTGGTATATCCACAGTGTATAAAAAACTTATAGCTTGAAAATAAGAACAACCTAATGGAAAATGGATAAAAAATTTGAACATACACTTAGCAAAAGGAATGAATGGGCAAAAAAATACATGAAATATCATTCAAAATTACTATTCACCAGGGAAATGCAAGTTAAATCCATAGTAAGGTATCCCTACATAGTACTCGGTGGTTAAAATTAAAAAGATTGACAAATTCACATTTGTCAGGAAAAAAATTGGGCAGGAACACCTTGTTTTTAGAACACCTTGTCATAGCATAAAGCAATGGGGTAAAGATTATGGGTGTTAAAAGTGCTGAAAGTCATCTAAAAGAAGGTCCCATGGGCTTCAAACAAATATTTGAGTGTAAATATGAATTGAAACTTAGGGCCTTCCCTGGTGGCACAGTGGGTTAATAAGCAGCACTGAGAAGCTAAAGCCACTTCCGCATGAGTTCAATCCCCGCCTGCCACGGAG